TGCTGTCAGAACATCAGATGTTTGGGGTTTCTAGTAAAAAGTGACAATTATTAATATATTGTTCATGCACATTTTACTATGGTAATACCATGTTGTTGTTTTTTTGCATGATGATGAATTGAAATATCATGCATATTGTCATAATCAAAGTACCATCATGTTAACATCTAATATTATGATTTTAGGTTTTACTTGTTAGTCTTTGATTACTTTTATAGACCAATCGGATTGTAATTATGAGCAATTTTGTGCTTTTTGCATGCTGGAAAAAGTTTAAACCAGCCTAAAGTGTTCTTGACATGATACCAGACTGGTTTATAGCTAGATTTTTGATGGTTTTAGGGGGATTTTGGACACTTTTGAACAGTTGCAAACCAGTTTATCCATGCTCAGAGACCAGCAAACACCACCTTCAGCTGGTTTAAGTTGTTATTTTAAGCAGGCTCTTGTTGGGATTTCATGGAGGAAAGTTCACTGGAAGTGTGGATTTCCCTTTGTGTAGGTGCACAATGCATGTGTTTGTTTCTTCAGAGCATGCAACCTTTTATACTCGTATTAAGATAACACTAAGTTCATATAAAGTCAGGAATGTGTTTGGAAAACATTTACTAATATTGGAATATGAACACCCTTATCTGTGAAGTTATGCTGCAAGATTTCATACTTGGTCACATTTACCTTTTTTTGCAAATTTTCTTCAAGATTTCAATAGGAGTCCATGCAATTGGGAATTTTGCATGAGGGCGGAAGATTTACCGCACACATTTTGCCATTGTTTCAAGTTGTTCATACAAATTGGCAATGTTGACCGACAGAAAGATGCTTGGTTTGAAAGTGACCCTTTTTGAGAACACCGACAATAGACAATGTACTTTTTCTGCCTGCAAAATTTCACTAATGTGATGCATCTTTAGGGTCAGGAGGTTGTGAGCTCTACACCTTAGCAAACACCACTAACAAGCGTGCATTTTCCCAGCAGTTAATGTGTTTTATAGTGTTGTGCGCTGGACGTGCGGGGTGTCGTATTTTCTCTCTGCTGTTATGCTGTTCTGAGACTCAAGGACGCTGGGAGAAACACTGTAATTCATCCTTTGTGTGTCCTTGCGTGGGCATTCGAGGACCGCTAAGACTCTCTCCGCTAATGAACAAGGAAAGCGGCATTCACACGTTTAAAAAAAAAAAACGGTGTCAGCCAAAATAAGCACCTGTAGTCTGCTAAGTAAATAAAAATTGTTTAAAGTCATTGACTACGTTTACATGGACATCAGTAATCTAATTATTTACCTTATTCTAAATAAGCCAATATTATGATTATGGTGTTTACATGAGTTGCTTTTAGAATATGTTTTTCATATTCCCGTTTTACATGTTATAGTACATAGTTCGATTAATGGCACACGTCATTACGTCCCCACGTGACGCCATCCGACGTCCCCTCCGTAATTTCACGCATAAACATATAGTTCGTTTTCGTGATGATGCCATGTACAGTTTTGGGTGTTTCATTTTTAATTTTATGAAAGCTTCAAGTGCAGTTAATTATTTCGTATTAAAATCGGAGTATTGTTGTCCATGTAAACGTACTCAATGTTAGTGCTTTCTCTTTGCAAAATGCAAATCACAAGGATTGTTTTAATGAGTAGCTGGGTACATATTTTGATGAATCAGACCGTTTTTCTTATCCTGAGCTGGGGCTTATTGATGCTTTGGGTTTCTGCGCTGGTTTTTGTTGGTGTTTTGTGGATTATTGCTGTCAGAATGTCATATGTTTGGGTTTTCTTGGTAAAAGTGCTATATTTTTACGTAGTGTTAGTATTTTGTACATGGACATTTTACTATGTTAAAGGGGTCCTATTATGCTTTTTCACTTTTTCAACTTTAGTTAGTCTGTAATGTTGCTAATGTTGCTATGTAAAATATGTGAAAAATAATGTTTTTCGAACAACCTAGTATGAGAGCCTGTTCTAGTACACCCCCAAAACAAAATCAAGACTTTGTAAACGAGCATAATAGGACCCCTTTAATACTATGTTTTTTGCATGGTAGTACCATGAAATACCTTAGAGTACCATGTAAATATAATGCATATCATCATATATCAAAGTACCATGGTGTTACCATCTAGTACTATGATTTTGCCGCCACAATATTTTTTTGTAAGGTTTTACTTGCTAGTCTTTGATTTGATTTTAAAGACCAATCGGATTGTGATTATTCTGTGCTTTTGCATGCTTTAGTTATTATTTTAGTTAACTTACTATGCTACTTGAAATTAAATACTAAAACTAAACTTATGTTACTTGAAAAAAAAAACATTAACTGTAATAAAATAAAATATTAAAAAGTGAACTTTATTTCAGCTAATTGCCAAGGCAACGCTTCTCATTTTCATGTTATTATTAACTTGATGTATTAAAATAACTAAAACAAAAACAAAAATGAATTAAAATTATATAGACATATTTAAAAAAAAAAACTAATAAACACACAAAAAAATACTAAAACTTAAAAAAAAAAAAAAAATTTAAATATGAAAAATAAAACATTCAAAATATTAAGAAACACTACAACATGATCTCAATGAAACTAAATGAACACTGGTACATAGAGACGTAAAATAAAGCAGATTTACTTTTAAGAGTGCATTCTGGGAGACCCGCCGGTGTCGTCATGCTTTGCTTCTTCAGCGCGACTGTTTATGTCTCTCCACAGAAAAAAAAAAATGTTTTAGTAGCTGACCTTTGGACTCTGTTTTTATCACTGGGTTTTGTACGAGAGGTTTTCTGTGTGCAGTAGTAGCCTTGATCTTCCTCTTCAAATAATCTCTTATGTCTCTTATGTTTTAAAAAGCCTCCGATGTGACTGCGTTGGTGGATGTGTGGCGTACGAAAGGGCTACTTCTTCTCTCCCGCTCTCGTAGTTTCCTAATGTACTTTTCTCAGACTGTGCCGTTTCAGAGAATGATGGAGAAAGTCTGTGGAAAGCTGACAGCTGCTGTATCTGAAAGCGTGTGAACGTGTCTCTGTGATAACGGGATCACAAACATCTTGACAGTTCTCTCGCCGCTTGTACGCCGCAGTTGTGGCAGCTGATGATATTTAAGCTAATGACTAAAGTGACAGGTGAAGCCCGACGCCCCTCGGAGATGTTATTCTGCATCTCTGATTTAGGACCTGATTTATTTGTTTACACACAGACAGAGACACAATGTGAAGCCAATATTCCCTGCCGCTCCTGAGGAATTATTTCGAAGCGATTCTTTTTTAATAACACACATAATGTTCCTGCTACCTGGCACATGTCACTAAAATTGTTACCCTGAGAAATCGCACCTGATGTAGTCTTTGTGAAGAGCATAAACAGCCCATGGGCAGTCTGAAGCGCTTTATTTACACGCATTTAAATTAGCTGAGATCCGGTTACCTGTAAAAAAGGGCAGGTTTAGGATAGAGGATAGAGAGCGTGTAGTTGAAGATATGTAATCACTTCCAGCACCTTTAAAGCAATGAAGTGAGCTTTTCTCTACTATCTGCATTCCCACTGGCTGTCGGTGCATTGCATTACAACTTATTTGTATATAGTTGAACTCTACTCAACTTGGTTGCATCAATGAGCACTTTCAGGGATGATTCAATAACGTTTGCAATAAAGTTTGGGTCACTGAAAGTTTTGTTTCAAACACTTAGTAATGAGATAACTTTAAGCTGTCTTCTCAGTTTTGGTCAAGTTCATATGTACTTGCCTCTGGATGTTATACCTTTAAAAAGCAGCAAAAGGTTGGTGATTTAGAAGCAAACTCTTCAGCCTCAATAGAAAGCGAATTAAGTGAGAGTGAGAGAATTAAAGATGATGGATGGATAGATAAATGGATAGATGAGCATAATGATTAATTAATTGTAATTAGTTCAATATTTGTATTTATTTTCTTAATTCATTTTATTTTTATTTAAATTATTTTTAATTAGGTAATCTTTTTGTATTTATTTATATGTGTAATACATGTTTATTGCTTAATGCTTTGGCAACATTGCGTTACTCTACACAGTCAAGCCAGTAAAGCTCATCTGAATTAGTATCAAAATATATATATTTTTTTCTTCTGGAAATTATAAAAATATAATGGTTATGCATTAAATAAGCATGCAGTAATGTCTATTGTTAAATAGTGCAGTGAATGAAAGACTCTTCATGTAATTTGATTATTTTCTCTTTTTATTTAAAACTTCTAGGACTCAAACCAAAAGATCAGATCAGATCATTCATAACAAATGAACGAGTCTGGCATCAGTGCAAAACAGCTTCACATTACAAAGCACTTGAGTTAAAACAAAAGACTCAAAACAGTAAACGCTATTACAGTCAAATGACTCATTTGCACTGCAGAACAGGTAGATATATATCATATATAAGTCAAAAACGTAATTAACAAGGCAAGTTGTGACCTTTTAACATTCTTCATCATCTTGACTTGTCTGGGACACATTCGGATCCTCAGTTTCACGTTTCTCATGTGTAAATAACATACAGCTGTCCTGCCTATGGCTATCCCTGCATATTTATCTACCGTAGTATAAACAGTGTAGCAAAATATCTACCGGTTGACACCAAGCCCTAGCAGATAGATAGATGTATGGATGGTACTATCTCTCAGTTCGTCAGTGTTACTGTGAGAATAACAGTCCATGTGCCATCACAGCCGTTCCCATAGCAACCGCATCCATGGACAGGTGCTTATGTTTTGGTTGGCGTTCAGAAGAAATGAAGACATTTCAGAAGAGCAGGGAGGGAGGGATGGAGAGAGAGAGAAAGAGAGCCAAAAAGGAGAGGAGAGGAGAGGAGAGGCTGAAAATAGAGCAAATGAGCGCTTTATAGCGTTCTTCATCCAAGCAGCGGGATCCAGCTGCAGGTGCTGCAAGTGTGTGTGTGTGTGTGTGTGTCGTAATAACAGCACAGGACTGTCAGATGTCTCACTCATCACGACTGTCTTTCTTTCTCTGTAGAGTACGGAGCAGGTTGCAGCTTTCTGCCGCAGTCTGCACGAGATGAATCCCTCGTCTGAGGTCGTCTCTTCCTTGTCCAGCCCGGAGTCTTCCTCACTTCCTCCGAGCAATGCCACTCCACGCCAGCTCTCCGATGCCGACAAACTCCGCAAAGTCATCTGCGAACTGGTGGAGACGGAGCGCACCTACGTCAAAGTCAGTACCTGTGTGTGTGTGTGTGTGTGTGTGTGTGTGTGTGTGTGTGTGTGTGTGATCAGACATACTCGCCTGTGTGTTTGACTTACATAAGTTTGTGCCCTTCATCGAGTCGAGGCCTGGAGGGAAAGAAATTGTGCCCTTGGCTTGCCTTTTTCTGCACCCACTCACTCTTTGGCTGCGTTTGAAATGGAATACTAGCGTACAGCATAGTACATACTGCCTTAAAAATAGCATTTGAAACAGAATGCAATGATTTAAAACAGCAGTTTGTCACATGACCTCACAGTTTTCTATGCAGTGTGTTTTATTGTATACTTAAAGGGATAGTTCACTCAAAAAAGACAATTCTGTCATTGCATTTTTTCTTCTTCTTTGGAACACAAAAGAAGATATTAGCCCGTGGTGTGCACTGGGGGGCTCGAGCCACTGCCCCTTTAATTGCCGACGCTAAAGTGCCCTTTCTGTCTGATCTAGGCACCCCCGGACCGAGATTTCAACTGAGGGGGACAACCAAACAACTCCCCCCACCCCCCCTCCAAAAAAACGACGGGGAAGGACTGTGTTTGTGCCCTCTTAAGGCCACTCATATTAGCCATGTACACACTGCAGCTAAATTCGGTTGTCAGTTCACCTTTTTAGTGCTTAATCCGATTCTGTACACACACAGTTCAGTAATTTACGGGAGTGACAACTGTATTCTACAGCTGAATTATCTCCTGAAAAATGCAGGTAGTGACAACCGTATTTACAGAAATTGTGCGCAGACTTATTTAAACATGTATCAGAGTGTCTTTTTATGTGCAGTGCAAGAAATCACTGGGCATGTTCTGAATCATTGGTGTTGCCAGATCCTGCTAGATTCTCTCTGTATAGCTCATGTTTGCTCGCTGTGTTGAGATTAACGACAGAGCCGTGACAGTATTTCCTCGTCTCTCTGAGGACGGCTGGGATTACAGTAACACCTTCACCGATATCCTGCCCATCGCTGGGAATATTTGCGGTGTGTTCAGATTCATCTGCCTGTTTGAGCAAAGAACTAAATCAACAGTCTGAATGAAGCACTCCAGCAGAAATGAAACATGACATGAGTGTGTGATGAGGCTGAGCAATATAGCTGGAGAAATTATGTGTTTATGTATGTATATATATATATATATATATATATATATATATCAATTATATATTATATATATATATCTACCAAGTATATTTTAAATATTTACTGCATGTAAATACAGTAAAAATGTTGTTCAAAATAATTTCAGTTTTAACAATGATGCCTTATATTTAATAATTTTTGTATAGATCAGTATACAATGCTGATCTAACAATGCATCTCCTAAACATCAGCTTGTACTACATGTATTTTTTACAGTGGCGTAGCGGACAGGCACGCAGTTTTGGGTTGCGATTACCTCCCCGTGCTGGGTTGCGTCGTATCATGTGTCGACTATAGCCAGAGATATTGTCAAAAGCATCAAATATTGTCAATATTTATAGGATTTGGCATTTCCAATTAATGTAGGCATGTTACATTCTTCTTATTATTATTAGGTTACTTTTATTATTAAATTGCAATTAATTTGCCCCACAATAATTCATAGCGCATCACCGCATAACTGACGTGCTGTGAGGATAATAAAAGATTAGGCTATTAGCTTACTCCTCATTGAAAATGTTTTTAAAAAGGTGTTTTAAAACAGGTCTATTAATTTATACAATGAATTATAGGCCTGTAATTAAAATTATTAAAACTGCAGTCATCAATGAAAATTAAGAGCAGCTTTATTTCAAGCACCGACTTTCAAAAACAACCTGTTTAATGCAAAATACATTTCTCTTTTTTTTCCCCACTATGTACGGGCCACAAGAGAAATATTAAGGAATAATTCAAGACAGTTAGGCTATATGCTGTTATCAGCATATGCTGAAGTAGATTTGTCTCTCGTCGTCTCTGAGAGAATATGCGCCGTTAATGCAGCGTCAGATGCCGAAAGCGCCGTCAGTTTGTACGTTTTTTACTTTGACTTTGCATAATTGACTAAAGTTATACTTAAGTAATATAATAAAGTATATAACTCTTGCGCAAAGTTTGCACGTTGTTTAATATCATCCTTCATGGTTTAAAATGGAAATATTTCCAATATTGCGACGTAACAAACCCCCTGCGATTTTGCGCTAAGCCACTGATTTTTTAGTAAAACACTTAAAATGATACTTCATGATCTCTGTGAACACTTTTGAGTGACTCAAATGATTCATTGAATCAGTATTGTGAATCAGTCAGGTTTATAATGGTTAACTAAAACTAAAACCATAAAAAATTTTTTTACTTGAAATGAAAACTGAAATAAAATGAAATAAACTTAAAAATGAATAAAAAAACTATATAGACATAAAAAAATGATAAAAATGACAAACACAACAAAATTACTAAAACTTTAAAATTTAAATAAAAACAGAAAATATGAAAATAAAAAGCGAATTCAAATTATTAATAAAAACTATAATAGGATCTCTGATGTTAAAATAATCTGGAACTAATTCTTTTAAATGGAAAGGTTATTAAACAGCCATGAAATTAATCAAATATAATGTCAAATATTAATATTGTGAATGTTGCTCATAGGCTGTTCTTCAATATTATTGTGTGTTCTCTCTCTCTTTCAGGATCTGAACTGTTTGATCGGGCGATATTTAACCCCGCTGCAGAAGGAGTCTTTCCTCACTCAGGATGAGGTGAGTTGAAGCGCTGCTGATGGTTTCATGTTATTATCAGCTGGCGAGCTCAAAAACACCTCCAGAACACAGAGTGATATTTCATAATCATCCTGATGGAGAGGAGTGTGTAGGAGGACACCGAGACAGAGACAAACACACACACAAGAAAAGAGAGGTAGAGAGGAGAGTGGGAGGGAGACACAAAATGAGGAAAACTTACATCAGACAGACGAGAGGAAGTTCTCAATCTTCTGCTCCTTTAATGCCCTACATATGGGAGCTGAGCTCATTATGCAGCAGTGCAGACACTAAAGAGATGTACTTCCACCAATATGGAGTCTCTTAAAGGTTGAGACAGATAACTAGAGAGCAGTATATAATGTCTATATGTATTTTTACAAAAATACTTATTTTATGTAATTTATATACTGTTTTGGGTACACGTTAAAGTGAATATTTACAGTTTTTACTCATACAGGTGCATCTCAATAAATTAGAATGTTGTGGAAAAGTTCATTTATTTCAGTAATTCAACTCAAATTGTGAAACTCGTGTATTAAATAAATTCAGTGCACACAGACTGAAGTAGTTTAAGTCTTTGGTTCTTTTAATTGTGATGATTTTGGCTCACATTTAACAAAAACCCACCAATTCACCAATCCACCATTTATTGAGATGCACCTGTATTTGTTATTGATATAAGATATAAACTCACAATTCTGACTTTTTTTTTCTCAGAATTGCGAGTTTAAATCTCGAAATTGTGACTTTATTTCTCAGAATTGCGAGTTTATATCTCACAATTCTGAGAACAAAAAAGTCAGAATTGCAAGATAAAGTCGCAATTAGCTTTTTTATTTTTTTATTCAGTGGCGGAAACGGGCTTCCATAGTATAAGCTTTATTACGTAGCACATATATTTAAAATTAAAATTAAATTATGTTTATATATAAGATAATTATTTGTTTAAATTTTTACATTTGACCACATTCATTTTTCCTGCATGTGTATCTGATAGCTGGATGTGCTGTTCGGAAACCTCCCGGAGATGCTGGAGTTTCAGGTGGAGTTTCTGAAGACTCTGGAAGACGGAACCCGGCTGGTGCCGGACCTGGAGAAACTGGAGCGAGTGGAAGAGTTCAAGGTTTGTCCCTCTGATCTCATTTACATAACATTAAACATAGTAACACTCAAAGTGTTTGGTCTACTCATTTAAATAACAAATATTTAAAGTTTTTGGGGCATACCATGTTTTTTTGGACGTGTGTGATAATAATAACATGTTTTTGGACACTACGGTTGTAGTGCATCACTCAGAGGCAAGATTTATCCAACACAAACCATAATACCTGATGTATTTCTCTCAAAATCCCTCTCGTCTTACAGAAAATCCTCTTTTCTCTGGGCGGCTCGTTCCTGTATTACGCCGACCGCTTCAAGATCTACAGCGCTTTCTGTGCCAGCCACACCAAAGTGCCCAAAGTGCTTGTCAAAGGTATGTAAATCTCTGCTCAAAGGCGACCTTGCTCCCTGTGAATTCTGGGATTTTCACAGAGTCCTGCACCTTGGGGGTCTGTAAATCCCATGTGAGCAGCTCCGCTGTGTAATGCAATCCTGCTGCTGTGTGTGGGCTATTTTTATTATTTAATGTCGATTCTGCAGATTTGTTATAAGATAGGTTACGTAACAGTGTTTTCCAGTAAGCTGAAGAACTTAATGTACTTGAAAACATTTTGCGCTGTACTGTGAAAAGCACAACAAATGCTAGCCGTCTTCAAATCTTTCTGTCACTATCAGTCCTGTGACAGCATAATCACATCTTCCTGTGTTTGCGTCCTCTCCAGCAAAAACAGACGCGGCCTTCAAGGCATTTCTGGACGAGCGTAACCCCAAACAGCAGCATTCATCCACGCTGGAGTCGTACCTGATCAAACCCATCCAGAGAGTGCTGAAGTACCCTCTGCTCCTGAGAGAACTGCACTCGCTCACAGACCCCGACAGCGAGGAGCACTACCATCTGAACGGTGAGAGACTCCGGTTCATATGAGCATGCCATGAAAGAAGTCTCTTCTTCTCACTAAGGCTGCATTTATTTGATTAAAAATACAGTAAAAACAGCAATATTGTGAAATATTATTACAATTTCAAATAATTGTTTTCTATTGTAATATATTTTAAAAATGAATTTATTCCTGTGATCAAAGCTGAATTTTCAGCATCATTACTCCAGTCTTCAGTGTCACATGATCCTTCAGAAATCATTCTAATATGCTGATTTGCTGCTTGAGAAACATTTCTGCTTATTATCAATGTTGAAAACAGTTGTGCTGCTTCACATTTTTGCGGAAACCGTGATAAATGTATTTTTTCAGGATTCTTTGAGGAATAGAAATGTCAAAAGAACAGTATTTATTTGAAATATAAATCTTTTGTAACATTATAAATGTCTTTACTGTCATCAATTTAATGTGTCTTTGCTGAATGTATTAATTTGAAGTATTAATTTTTTAAAAAGTGTAGTGTATTGTCCAAATAAGATGTTATAACTGGAGAGCAGTTTTAAAGCCATCAATCTGAACTCTTATGTTTCAACCAACTTTCTGAATTCACTGCTATATAATTGACACATATATAGAACTGATATATAATTTATTTTCTCTGCTGTTGTGCAGTTGCAATGAAAGCCATGAACACAGTGGCCAGTCACATCAACGAGATGCAGAAGATCCACGAGGAGTTTGGAGCCGTCTTTGACCTCCTCATCTCTGAACAGACTGGAGACAAGAAAGAGGTTTGTGAACTTTACATCAGTTCGTTCCAGTCAACTAATTTCACTGGACAAGCAATGTTTTACTGTTTGCATCAATCCTAATTAAGTATTTAATTAACCAATATTAACTATGCTCTTTTCGTTTATGTTTTTAAATATTCTTGTTTCTAACGTGAGTTGCTCAGTATTTACTTTTTGTTTATGCAACTACTATATAAAACAAAATATTATTGTATCATTCACATGGTGTCAGGTCACTCTTGGTTGCATGTGAGTGCAGCTTGTGATAATACAGAACTTGGGTCTCAGATTTTCAACCACATTTCATGCTCTGCAGCTGATAAAAACTTAAAACTGTCAGATCAGATTTCCTTCTTTATTCCTGTATTTACTGTCATCTGCCTGCATATTTAAATCTTATTAGCCTATTATGTGAATACAGTGAAACTTTGTTGCATAATGTGGCTGTAGCTCGGAATGATGTCAGGCAGAGACAGACGAGATCCCTTCTGGATTGCAGATTGCGAGTTCTGTGTGTGTGTGTGTGTGTGTGTGTGTGTGTGTGTGTGTGTGTGTGTGTGTGTGTGTTTCAGAGTCGACAGCTGGAATCGGAGACAGGAACCACCGAAGAACACAGTCTCAACGCAAGAAAGAACCACAGCTGGCCACATTTGGTACATTCTGTTCCCATATAACCTCAACTCATGGATAGATAAATAGATAGACGGATAGATAGAAGGGATGGGCGATATGGGCTTAAAAATGTATCACGATAATTTATGATATTTATTGCGATAACGAGATCAATGACGATAATTTAGGGAATCCTGTTTCTTTAGAGAAAAATATTATCTTTCCTATTTTTACCCAAAATAGGGTGTTGTGAGCAGTACACACGTAATGTAATGACTGTTTAAAAAACATTCGTAGGCCACCCTTGCGCAGAAACTCCACATATGCATAGTAGAAGTAATGCTCCAGGAAATCCCTAATATGGACAGAGGTATCCAGTGATCGCTGTAGCTGAATAAAACGCAGATAGAGAAATTTTAACTGAGGAAACCTGAAGACAATAAACACGTGATTGCACAAAATATATGGTATCTGTGTTCTTCAAGCAATCTTGGGTATTTTTATAAGGATAAAGTATATTTATAATGCAATGCTAATCGACATAGCCTTTATCACTGTATATAATGCTATAAAATATTTCTTTCATGTTGTAGACCACGAAATAGCAACTGATTTACAGTTGAGATACAGGCTTTCACAAAAACAAAATAAATGATCAAATAATAAACCTCACAATTGAGCGTTTAAACCAGGGGTGAGCCAGAAGTATAAATTATTATATTAATTTAAAACGAGGTTATGTGGGTGGATTTTCGCATTGATCTGAACAAAAACTACAGACTGGATTATTGAAAATGAACATTCATTCTCTGCCAGTAGGAAGAAAAGTGTGAAAAAAATATAGCCTATATTGATGAGGAAAGTCCACTGATGAGTTACCAGCGTAAGCCTGTGTGCAAAGGCTGTCTAATTCTAAACTTTAAAATACATTTATTTTGAGGTATTTTAACTACAAATTTAAATAAATCTGAAAAAATAATGAAAAGGCAATTATACATTTACACACCTAAGGATTATATCAACCAAAAAGAAACTGTGTCCTCTACTTGGTTCATTCTCATAAATGAGTAAGCGGCATTTAAAACAATTATAAGCATATAATACATACTGTTTTTCAATATTTAATTACAGCTTCAGATGCATAATATTTTCATCTCCTTCAAGCAGGGTACACAAAAAGCACGTTCAACTCGGACCAGAGGTGCCAAATGATCAGTGAGAGCAGAACGAATGCGTCACACGTTTTAAATACATATATCAAGAGCATGCTCACAGATGAGAAAAAAACAGTGTTGGATGACGTGGATTAGAGCCCTGCACAGGCCTCAAATATAGGCCCTAGCCAGTCTTATTTCCCCTTTTCCCAAAAAAGCTTATACTACTGTTTCAGCTATTAATTTTAGGGGGCCCTTGGCTTTTGGGGGCCCAAGGCGGTCGCCCACCTTTGCCTAATGGGTAAGTCCGCCCCTGTTCCTAATAGATAGATAGATAGATAGTCATACAGATGGACAGATAGACATGTCATTTTATGCAGTGAACTGAAGTGTAATGTTACATGTTTCTCCTCCAGTGTTCAAAACCGCTGTAGTGTTCATCTGTAAGGATTACTCCAAGCAGAAGAAGAAAATGGTGAGTGTTGTGATCTTCACTATCAGAGCAGTTGAATATTTCGGCTGTGCATGTTACGCCCAAACACTCCCCTCTCTCTCGCCCGCTTTTCATGGGCTTACAGAAGTATTCAGCAGTTAACTGGGTGTTGTATTCATGCTCTTGTTTGGTGCAGTATCGTACAGCGTTCACACCCTGATTCCCATCAAAATGATGAATGAATGACATTATTCACACGTGTCTGTCTCTGTTTCTCAGGGTGGTTCTCATAGAGCATCTGTCTCAGGTGAAGAGAAAGATCCGTTCCGTTTCCGCCACATGATCCCCACTGATGCGCTTCAGGTGCGCACACTGTCAAATACAGGTAAGCTCACCTATGACCCCGTCAACACACAAAACAAATCTGTGCATGATGAAGTCAGACCCTATAGGGATAAACGGGGAGCTGATCATAGTGTGTGTGGTTTCAGATGGAGAGAGTGCAGCTGTGTGTGAGATCATCCATGTGAAGTCTGAATCAGAAGGAAGACCAGAGAGAGTGTTTCAGCTCTGCTGCAGGTCAGTGTCTCCTGCACTGTAACAATCAGCATAAACTGACTAGTTTATAATGCGGTAATATATATATATATATATATATATATATACACACACATATATATGTGTATATATATATATA